TATATTTCCAATACAAATTTCGTAGTGGAAAAAAGCTGTCCTAGAATGATGGGAACGGGTGCAGTCACTGTTGTGGTTGAAAAGTTGGGAGAGTAGAGGGAGAATTTAACGCAACGATTAATGATTCTGAGCGCAGTTCGGTTAATAGTGTTGCTTTATCAATAATATATATCTCATATTATTGTAAAATAATTACAATATACGCATTATATATTTTCTTTAATAATATTTGTTTAATATTGTACCTATTTTCCCGTTTTCCCGAGATTTTTCTAATGTTTTGGAGTTTTTCCCTATTATTATGAAAACAGCTGAGAAAATAAAAAGTCTCCCTAGAGTACCACTCCAGTAAGATTTTATATCAGAAAAAGTGTTATTAAAACCTAACCTGTCATTGTAAATAGAAGCAAAACTACCGATAAAAACCAGTTCACAGGAAAAAAAATAAACATCATTATAACACTAATACATACCTAGCTCTGAGCTTTTTTTTATTGCCTTTTTAATTTAATTTGAACCTCCTGGAACCGTCATTATTTCACTCGACAATAATCAAATGGTCAATGATTACTATGCTCGTTACCAGCGCCTATAACCGTGGTATAATAATCGGTATAAAACAACCGATTTATTATATAAAAGAAAAACACACAAGGGATAAAATCACAGAAAACGTCACCGGTAAATAGATCCTCAGTCCTATGTCTGTAAAAACAAGAAGTAAAACGTTTTGTATTGCTTTTAAACGTTATGGCCAGACGTCCAGACCGTGTACGTCATGTTCTAACCTATCCCGATAGGTCACAATGAAATATACTACACCCGACTAACGTACTACTGATCTAAACCGGTCTATAGGGTTCGGGACCGAACCCGAATGCGGCCAGGGCCCCGGGCTGGCCGGTCCCCGCGCATTCATCGTTTCGGCTAATCACGGGCGACGGGTACCCGAGCGGAGACGCGAAATTTACGACACGTTTTAACGCTACGACTACATTAGAGCCGTTTCAGATCCGATCCGACGATCCGACTACTCGCGTACATTATCGGCGGCGGCTATACTTATCCGACCTGCCCTTTTCCGAAGAGAAACAAATCGATTCGATTGTCTTCCGACAAGTCGGATAAAATTAGATTGTTTCGGTTGAACAGTCGATTACTTATAATCAATACCCATACGTTTTTATGTTTATTCGAAAATATTCTTCCAACTTATCGGGATATTCTCGGAGTTCAATACGCGTCGTAAAATATTCGCCATTTCTAAAATCTTTTAATACATTATGCGTCCAACGGGACCTTGGATTATTTAAACAGCAATATTTTGCTATCCAGTAAATCATCCCGTCAGTCTTCTGAACCGCCGGAACACTCAAGTACGTATTGAATAAAAAGCAATAACGCGCACGTGAAATCTCATCGATACGCGGCGTCTCCGCCGATAAATAAATGTCAGAGTGGTTGATAAGTGCACGAAGCCCGTGCGGAATCGGACATAACGCGGCCGCAGTTATCGGACGCGTAAGGATGTCGGTCGGGTCGGTCGAATCGGATCGGATCGGAAACGGCTCTAGTGTAGCCGAATCCGCGAGCGCGCTCTGTGTACCCAATGCCAACCATAACAACACGCGATACGCGCGCGCGACCGCTCTGCGCGGTAAATACTATTTATTTTTTTTGTACATTATAACGAGAGACGCGTCGGAACGCTCACGATTATTCGTGTTATCGTTATAAACGAGCCGAGACGACAACCGCGCGTTTCAAAATAAAAATAATATTTTAATATTATTATTACGCCGTCGCCCCGGGCCGCGGCGTGGTGGCCGCCGCGGCTTCGCTGTCGCGCGGCCGTGCGCGCAGTGTGTCAGGTCGCCACGAATCGATTTGAAATGTAGTAACGGGGACCGCAGCTCGTCTGTCGCTCTTATTTTTTTTTTATGTATATATATTTTTTTTTTTTATTATTATTATTTCCCCGCCGCTCGCCGGCCGTTCCCGCGGCACCGTACGCTCGCCGTTGTCGTCGCTCGCCGTTGACAAGTTGTAAAAAGGGGAAACGTACCTACGATATAATATAATATATTATACATGAATAATTTAAATGAAAAAAAACCGGCAACCGGTTAATTAAACTTTATAGTGTACCCATATAGGTAGGTAGAAATACGGCGGCGGCGAGTGGTAGCGAAATCGGTTCGTCGTCCGTCGCCGTTCGACAAACACGTTTTTTTCTTCTTCTTCTTCTTCTTTTTCTACTACTAACGCGTCCGTTTTATAATGTTATAGGTGTCCGTATAATATACGCGTGTAAGCATGTATAATATATTATTATAATAATATTATTAATATTACGTATACGGACAGGAGCAGAGACCGACGCGTGTATAGTATTTTATTATGTATCGTTGTATAATAATAATAATAAGAAGAAGAAGAAGAAGAATAAGAAGAAGAATAAGAGGAATAAGAAGTAGATATGACATTTTAACATTATAACAGGAGGAACAATTTCGTATAATACATATATAAATGTTATTTGAATACGATATTATTCGGCGGTTCCCCCAACCCCGGACACCACCACACCGGTGTAGTGTATATAATATTATCATTATGCATTCCGAACCGCCGCCGCCGTTGTTGGTGGTCATAATTTTTAATTCGAATCTCTACTATGTTCCGACACCGCCGCGCGCGCGAAGACCGGACGGACACATTACGACGAAATATAAAATTAAAAAAAAAAAAAAATACCAAATAATTCGTCCGGTAGTTTATTTTTTATTATTATTATTATTATTGTATTGTGCGTATGTGTGTGCTCGCGGCTCGGACGTTTGTGATGTGTGTGTGTGTGTGTGTGTGTGTGTGCATAGGTGAGTCGGCGGCGGAACAGGTGATGTCGGCCAAGATTTCGGAAGAAAAAAAAAAAAAAGGAAAAAAGAAATCACACGTACGACGACGGCGACAAGTTGAATGAACGGGATCCCGAGCGCGCGCGATAGGGTGGGAAATAATAATATATTCCGATAGAAAAAAAAAAGAAAAAAATGATAATAATAAAAAAAATACCGATTCTTATTACCTTTTTTTTTTTTTTTTTTTTTTTT